TCAGTATTTGACTTAAGATGCACCTGTGTTTATTTATCTATTACTAAAATGACCTCTGTTACAGTTTTAGACAATTGTCCAAATCAACACAATGTCCTTGTGTACAGTGTCACAATATATTTAAAGATATTTAGACTAATCTTAATCGTTAAAGATTTGAATCAATAAACTCTTTGATACTTTTATGAAACCCTCCACAGACAGACAGGACAATCAGATATTTACTCAAACATTTAGAGAACATGCACATATTAAATAACATGAACTCAACCACCTGTTGCTCACTTTACTATTTAAAAATGTCCCTCAAAGGCTTCTGTAGTTGTTCTAAATGAGTCTATAGTTTTAACTCTGCGGGTAATACTACAGCTGTGAGCAGGCATTACATCTCTCCTGGTCGCTTTAAGTTACTGATTAAACATTTCTGCAGTATCAGTATCAAGCACGATGCAGCTGCTGGGCTTCGCTGCGCATGCGCGGAGTCTGTCACGACTGTGTACGCTGCTGCTGCTGCTGCAGGTGCAAACATGGCGATGAAGGCGCTCCGAGGGATGGTGAACGGGGCCATGAGCGAGCTCTCCTCCGCCGTCAGCGGGAGCAGACCTCCGGCCGCCGCTCCGGCTCCCAGCGCCGCCACCCGGGAGCAGGTGGCCGTGCGCCGGGATTACATCTCCCAGCCCCGCCTCAGTGAGTCCAACTGAAGCCTGAGTATCTGGATGTTTGCACTCTGCGGAATGTTTGATGTGTGAAGACTTTAGTAAAAGATCAGTGCGTCATTTTAAAGACTTTAAACTGTTTTAGAATCACAAGTGACAGACAGATACTCAGGGGATGAATATGTTTAAGAGAGCGGAAACTATTTGTTGAATGTTGGGTAGTGAACAGTGCATTGATCTGCAAGAATCATCAATAAATTGTTTTTTGATAAGCCTGTATGTGTGAACGTTTGCAGCTTCCTTGATCTGCAGTGATATTTAACTGATCATCGTTGTAGTTTGGACAATGAATAAGACATTTAAAGATTCAAACTCCAGTTTTTTTTTGTTTTTTTTTGCATGATTATGACATTTTTCTTGTCCAGATGATGTTTGAAAATGATCCATATTTGAAGCCCAGGCTCGTGAATGTGTGTGGGCCTCAGAAGAACAAAAATAAATCCACTCTGCAGCTCCCTGCCTCCTCCAGACACTCCACCACTAATAATGTGATCAGATGCATTAAAGTTTTACCTTACATCCATTAAACTGAGACAGACCTGGGAGCAGAGGTTTGTTTAATTCATTTATACCTTCATGAAATATTGGGAATTGTCCACCAGATATATCCAGGCCCAGAGTGAAGATGTTGAAAAAAGCTGAAGGTAATGAGTTCACTGTGATATTAAAGAAATAAATCCTCACATCGGAGAAGCTGCAGGTCTGCTCTCTGCTCTCATTCTGTTTGTATTCACCGTCTCAGAACTCTGACTCCTTGTTTTCTGCCTCCTCAGCCTACAAAACTGTGTCTGGAGTCAATGGTCCGCTGGTGATCCTGGATCAGGTGAAGGTAAGGGGGACGACCGAAGGCCTCAGAGGACTCAGAACTCTTTGATTCCTGCAGAAAGGGAGCACACTGTTTACCTGCTGCATGAACAACAAATTAACCACAACAGTCCCAACACTTATGCACCTAGTCGTCTTAGATGACTCTAAAATATGGCCCACCTGTAAATCTAGCAGATTAACCCTCTAACTGCTGGGCAGACCTGAAGGAAGCTGCAGATGAAACGTGTTATTTGCTCATAATAAAGTGACAGTAAAGTCATTTTCAGTGTGCTGCAGTTTATTGATTTTTTTCATGTTCCTGCAACCGACCGGCACCAGAGGACACGTTGGCTGCAAACGGGTTCCTTGTTGGTCGTTAAACCCCTTTTAAATGAGTCTACTGTCGTTAACAAGCAGAACTGGAGCGAATGAATAACGCTCATAAAGAAACTAGTTGCTCCATTATGGACGTGTTTTTAAAGTGTCAGAGTGTCTTCGACTCATTATTTCAAAAGACACTGACATGTTTGTTAAAGTTCAGAATTCAAAGCCTCTTCCTGTATCTGACACACGCGCTTCTGTGTTTCTATCACAGTTTCCGCGGTACGCAGAGATCGTCCATCTCACGCTGCCCGACGGAACGAGGAGGAGCGGTCAGGTGTTGGAGGTCTCCGGCTCCAAAGCTGTGGTGCAGGTACTCTCATCTTGTACATGTAAAATGTCAGATTTTGACGTTTTAAACCAACAGCAGAGGCGTAGAGATGCTCCTGAGGTGACTCTGTGAGGTGCATAGAAAATGAGATCTTAAAAAAATGAGCACCCTGTTGGTGCACACATTCAACTCAAACCTCAGGAGTTTTGTGCGCGTGTGAAAAATCCTTCAGAGTAATTTAAAGCTTCTGCTGCAGTGATAAACTCACAGGTTTAGATTCATCGTTCTATCCGCTCTGCCCCCTGCAGGTGTTTGAGGGGACTTCAGGTATCGACGCCAAGAAGACGAGCTGCGAGTTCACAGGAGACATCTTACGGACGCCGGTCTCTGAGGACATGTTGGTGCGTCACACCGTTTATCTAAAACTCACATTTTAACCATGTCATGATTTGGTTTTATTTAGTTTTATATTTCAGCGTTTAGGTTTCCATGTTTTAATTTCTCCTGTCCACCCTAGTGTTGCTTGTTTCCCTATAGTGTGTTTTTGTATTAATGTTCCCTGGTGTTTGTTTCCCTTGTGTGTTTCCTAGATTAGTCTTTAGTGTTTCCTGTGTTATTTTGTATCCTGGTGTTGTTACATTCTACTCTCAAGATTCGGTCTTTAGTTTGTATTTTGTCCATTTCAAAGTCTAGTTTTCCTTGTGGTTATTCATACTAGTGTTTCTTGTTTCCCTTGTGTGTTTTTGTCTTAATGTTTCATAGTTAAGTCTTTAGTGTGTTCCTGTGTGTCACCTTGTTCCAGCCTTTTTTTCCTAGTAGACTTAAAGTGATTTTTGACCATGCCTGCCTTACCGTTTTGCCTTTTGCCTGCTCCCTTTGGATTTGTTTGCTTCGAAGATTTGCCTTTCTGTGTACCGACCTGGACTGCAATTAAACTCTGCGTTACAGTCCCTGTCGCTATCTGGTTCTGAGAAACCACATGAAGACCTGAAGCTCTGCAGGAACACGTCTGTGAAAACTCTACATGTTCTGAACGCGTCTGTGTTTGTGTGTTCAGGTCGTGTGTTTAATGGATCAGGTAAACCCATCGACAAAGGACCTGCCGTCCTGGCTGAAGACTTCCTGGACATCATGGGTACGCTGACCCTCTGCTCCGAGGCTCAAAGTATCGACAAGGACACAGGGCTTTAACCTGCACACACTGAAAAGAGCCAACATGTTGTGATTAATGAAAAATGTTCTGCTCTGGAGGTTGGGAGTGGAACAACCCCTTCCTCTCTCTCTCTTTGTGTTTGCATGAATATTTCCTCTGTTCTGATGTTTATAATGCCTGTTTCCATGTTTCAGGTCAGCCCATAAACCCTCAGTGTCGTATTTACCCCGAGGAGATGATCCAGACGGGAATATCTGCCATCGACGGCATGAACAGCATCGCCAGAGGACAGAAAATACCCATCTTCTCTGCTGCAGGGCTGCCGCACAACGAGGTGCATCGCACAGACACAGAAGCAGATCAAGTTGAACCGACAAATCCTCCCAGTTTAATATCAATGAATAACTTTTGTCTCTTCCCTGTAATTTGATAGATGTTACAAAAATTAAGTTAGGATGAAAATAATAACATTTCTCTGGATGACTTTTCAGTGATGGGCGACCTGTTCAGACCCTTTACTACCATTAAAGTTCAAATACCACAGTACAGTGATAACCAGCCATCCAATCATTATCTTCCGCTTATCTGAGGTTGGGTCGCCATGGCAACTAACTCATCCTTCTGAGGGATTCTGCGGCATTGCCAGTCCAGACGGGATGTATAATCCCTCTGGGTCTAACAGGGCTCTCCTCCCTGTTGGGCGTGCCCGGAATACCTCCAATGGGGGGCATCCAGGTGGATTCTGATCAGATGCCTGAACCACAACTGGATGCTCTCGATGTGAAGGAGCAGCGGCTCTACTCCGAGCTCCCCCCTGAATGTCTAAGCTCCTCCCACTCTCTCTGATGCTGAGTCCAGACTCCCTCCAGAGGAAACTCATTTCAGACGCTTGTACCCGCGATCTCATTCGTTCGGTCACTACCCAAAGCTCATGACCACAGTCGAGGGTCGGAATGAAGATCGAGCTGATTTGCCTTCAGGTTCAGCTCCCTCTTAACCACGACGGTTTGCAAAAACGCTCGCATCACTGCTGACGCTGCACCAACCCGCCCGTCAATCACTGTCCATCTTACCCTCACTGTGAACAAGACCTGAGATACTCAAACTCCTCCACTCGGGTTAAAGATGAACTCAGCACCTGGAGAGAGCAATCAGCTGTTTTCAGGCAGAGAACCATGACCTCACCTCAGAGTCCAAGAAACAATCTACAGTCACTTGAGATTGTTCCTTCAGTAAAAGTCTGAGTATAATCCAGAAAAATGTAGTTCAAGTAATAATCATGTTGTATGAATGCAAAAAACAGGATTGTAATGTTGGAGCTAAAGTAGCTAATGTTAATTTTCCTCTCTGAATCTCTATACTGATTATTTCCTCCTTTACTCCAGCAGAGTCTTTAACATCCGTCTCTCTTTCTCTCCTCGTGTGTTTCCAGATCGCCGCTCAGATCTGTCGTCAGGCCGGTTTGGTGAAGAAGTCCAAGGACGTGATGGACTACAGCGAGGACAACTTCGCCATCGTTTTTGCTGCCATGGGGGTGAGGACTAGATATACTCTTTTTAAATAATAAAAATTCACTCTCTGGTGATCTCAAACTCCTCGTCTCAAACACCTGAAGGCGTCTTTATGAGGTGTATTCTCTGCGTTTAGTGTCATGTGTGCACTGAAGTGACATTCAGTCCTCATCAGATAAAAGCAGTCTTCTATTCTTTATTGTCTCGTTAGAATTTTTTTTATATTTCAAGAACGTTTTGACACTCTGTGGAGGGGAAACAGGATTGTGTTGCTGTAAAGACAACGAGCCAAAGTTGAACAGAAACATCAAACTTCCATCTTTTTTTAACATATTTTGTGTGTGAGAGAGTGTGTGTGTGTGTGTGTGTGGGGGGGGGGGTAAGGGTAGAAACACTCGGTGATGGGTGGGTACCAGCTGATGACGTTTGCTCCTGGCTGAAGGCTACAGATATCTCTTAAGGTATCTTTATGACATGCTCCTCTTAAGGTGTACTGTCCCCGCTGAGGTGTCATAACTTCAACTAGACAGCTGCCAGCCAAACTCCACATAAAACGACACAGCAGTCAGGATGTAGCGTTCTAGCTCCTTAATTTGTTCCAGACTCAATGTGCATGAGGTTAAGAATCAGGAGTGAAACTGAAAATATAGATTGGTACAACACAATTAACAAGATGTCCTTTATACAAAGATAATTTGTAATCATCAAAATAATAAACAAGCTAACTACTTTTATGCTTGTAGATGTGTCTTAATTGTTTAAATGGCATGCATTAATTTATGCAAATTTAATAATATAACAAAGATACTTTCCAATATCTTAAGGTGAAAACCTAAATAAACATCTGAACAACTTACAAGCAATGCCTCTGCTGGAGAAACAACTGGATGGCACCGGATTTACTCTTGAGCTCCTGCCACAAATAGCCCTCTACTAGACCATGTGCACACTAAAACTTCCTACTTCCTTTTCCTAAAGGAAGCTATGCAAAACGACCACTATACAGTAGGGAGAGCTAATTTACAGAAAAACAGAATATTTATTAAACATAGAAATAGCCTGGAAGGCAAAACATATGGTATCTGGAGCCATTAAGCACACATTAAGATCTCATGTCACATGATCCATCTAATGTTTGACAGGAGGTCTTCTATGACATGCTCCTCGATGGTGTCAGTCTGCAGCCTCACGATGACACGTTTACAGAACAGAATCAAACTTTCTATTTCAGATGAACACTTACTAAAGTGAAGTTTCTCTTCTTTGCCTCCAGGTGAACATGGAGACCGCTCGCTTCTTTAAGTCCGACTTTGAGGAGAACGGTTCCATGGACAACGTCTGTCTGTTCCTCAACCTGGCCAACGACCCCACGTAGGAACCTTTTCTCTAATTACCTCCCCTGTTTCTACCTAATAAAAAAAACAAAAGAGCGACCAGCTGAAATACATATTTGTACATCGAGTGTCTCCATTTTTACTCCCTGTGAACATACCCCTCATTCTGTTGTGGTTTAGAGGATTATCTTTCATTCCAAGAGATTTCCCCGTCAATTGTTTCCTCGAAGATTGAAAAGCACATTTCATGCGGTTTGGAGATGAATCAGATAGATTTGGCATAAAATACACGTCTCAGGAAAAACCCTGTAAAGTCTCTGTACTTTAAAAAAATCAGCTTTGGGTTTTGCACACTTGTTGACAAAAGGGGAAGAGAGAGAGAAAATAAAGCTGCTGTAGGTGGCTACGTTTTATGAGGCCGGCTACGCACTAGACGATCTTAAAGGCTTAATATGCGATTTTTCACACTTAAATGTAATAGAAATCAAGTCTATCCTCTGAAAATAACTGTGAGTCTACAATGGGTGCAACACCCGAGTCCCACTGTCTGTGATGCTTTCCGAGTTTTCCGAGTCCTATCTTCAATTTGTTTACATCGCTCGGACTGCCGACTTATCCCCTTGCGTATAAAAGTTGTTTAATTGAGGGACGAGAGAAAAGTAGAATAACATACTGTACTCACTGCTTAACTGCGTTTCTAGATCATGCTCATTTCGGGCGACATCTGCTGGATCAAAAAATCACATATAAAGCCTTTAACCGATTTTTAAAACATATAGACCACAGACACGAGGACAGTCTTTTAAACTTTATAACCCTCTTAATGCACTCACGAGACGATTCAGCGAGGCCGTGAGATCTCACAGAAACTCACATGATCAAACGTGACTTCAGAAAAAAACAAAACATGGAGGACGATGGACATGGTCAGCTGGCTTCGTGGTTCGTCTTCATGAGACGGGGTTCAGTTGTGTTTATGTTTTCGGCGCCATGTTTGTGAGCTGTTAAAAGTGACGCAACATCCGGTTGGTGATGCCGCCCGGTCTGCTCGCTCTCATTGGCTGTTGCAGATATTCTGTCGGAGGCAACGCATCGGGAGGCTCCGACTCGATCTGGAGCAGGAAAATAATCGTAGTGACACCACACACATTAGGATCCTTTGGACAGATAGTCGGTTAAGACGACCTTTAACAGGCCATGCCCACCGATCATTGAGATCTAGTGTGTACCCAGCCAAGTCAGTTGTTACCAATATGCAGAATGTCTTTTCTAAAAGACTTTAACTGACTTCTTCATTGCAGCATCGAGCGAATCATCACGCCTCGTTTAGCTCTGACATCAGCAGAGTATCTGGCCTATCAGTGCGAGAAACACGTCCTTGTCATCCTCACCGATATGAGCTCTTACGCCGAGGCTCTGCGAGAGGTCAGCCAACGTTTCTGTGATCCTTTTCTGAAATGACTACATGATGATGGGAATAAACGTACTCACCTGTGAATAACTCTTCTTCTCTCAGGTGTCTGCAGCCAGAGAGGAAGTGCCGGGCCGGCGTGGTTTCCCTGGTTACATGTACACCGACCTGGCGACCATCTACGAGAGAGCGGGCAGAGTGGAGGGACGGAACGGCTCCATCACTCAGATCCCCATCCTCACCATGCCCAATGACGGTAAATACAAACATAAAAGAGCTAATGCTAATGCTAACACATTGCTAATGAGTGTTCTGGTGTCTCAGATATCACTCATCCCATTCCCGACCTGACGGGTTACATCACTGAGGGACAGATCTACGTGGACCGACAACTTCACAACAGACAGGTACTGAAGACTGAAGACCTGTTGGTCTGGACTTAACAATTGTAGAACTTGTCCTAGGATTTTTGTTCTTGACTTGGGACCTTTTGATCTTGACTTATGACTTGTAGATATTGTCCAAGGACTTGCTGTTCTTGCCTAAGGACTTGTTGATCTTGACTTAGGACTTATTGATCTGGACTCAGGACTTGTTGATCTTGACTCAGGACTTGTTGATCTCGACTTGGGACTTATTGATCTGGACTCAGGACTTGTTGATCTTGACTCAGGACTTGTAGATAGTCTCCAAGGACTTGCTGTTCTTGCCTAAGGACTTGTTGATCTTGATGTAGGACTTATTGATCTGGACTCAGGACTTGTTGATCTTGACTCAGGACTTTTCTAGTCTAAGAACTTGTTGACCTGGACTGAGAACTTATTGATCTAGACTCAGGATTTGTTGATCTTGACTTGGACTTGTTGATCTTGACTAAGGACTTGTTGATCTTGACTAAGGACTTATGATCTGGACTCAGGACTTGTAGATCTTTTCCAAGGGCTTGTTGTTCTTGCCTAAGGACTTGTAGATCTTAACTTAGGACTTGCTGATCTTGACTAAGGACTTGTTGATCTTGACTAAGGACTTATTGATCTGGACTCAGGACTTGTAGATCTTTTCCAAGGGCTTGTTGTTCTTGCCTAAGGACTTGTAGATCTTAACTTAGGACTTGCTGATCTTGACTAAGGACTTGTTGATCTTGAATAAGGACGTGTTGATCTTGCCTTGGGACTTGTTGATCTTGAATTAGGACTTGTTGATCTTGACTTGGGACTTGTTGATGTTGACTAAGGACTTGTTGATCTTGACTAAAGACTTGTTGATCTTGAATAAGGAGTTGTTGATCTTGACTTGGGACTTGATGATCTTGACTAAGGACTTATTTATTCTGAGTTGGAAACTTTGATTTTGAGTTTTTAACTCCTTTCAGAAGTATTTTCGTTGCTGTGCGCCCTCTGGTGGTTCATCTGTGGTTCAGCAGGTCCACTTTGAGCTTCCTGTAAACGAGTCGTGTCAGGTGGTGAATGTTTTTTTAAAGGTAACGTCTAACAAAGTTTGTACCTTTTCTTCTTCTGTGGTGTAGATCTATCCGCCCATCAATGTGCTGCCGTCTCTCTCTCGTCTGATGAAGTCCGCCATCGGGGAGGGAATGACCCGCAGAGACCACTCTGACGTCTCCAACCAGCTGGTGAGCTCACACACACTTCCTGCTTCTTACTGCACATGCTCACCTTCATCTTCACCTCTGTGAAAACATGTGTGTGTGTGTGTGTGTGTGTGTGTGTGTGTGTGTGTGTGTGTATATTTGTGTGTGTAGTATGCGTGTTATGCCATAGGGAAGGACGTGCAGGCGATGAAGGCGGTGGTGGGGGAGGAGGCTCTGACAGCTGATGACCTGCTCTATCTGGAGTTCCTCACCAAGTTTGAGAAAAACTTCATCTCCCAAGGTGCATTGGGGCACAATTTATCACATCATACTTTTGGACTTATGTCAGTTGAAATTAAACCAAGGCTCGAATGTTTTGGATTTTCCTCTTCGTCTTTGAATACTTGGATCAAATTTGTGAGGACATGAGGTCATTAAAAGTAGAACATTTTAAATTATACAGACATAAAATCAAGTATGCAACATTTACAACAGATATGACAATTAAAAGAGGAATGAAGGACAGGATATTTTGGAAAACAAACGAAGCGTTAGTGGTATTAGGTATAAGATATTATCTTAGGTATAAGATATTATCTTAGGTATAAGATATAAGACATTTTCCACAAATTAATCCGGTTACACACAGTATGTAGATTCCACCACCAGGGGGCTCTCAATCAAATCAAAACAAAAAGAAAAGATGAAGTCGAGGCTGGCGGGGAATCATGGGAGTGATTCTCTTCTACTCCACCCCCTCGCCCCCCCAATAGAAACGACCTCCGAGTTGACTGTAGTCATGACGACCAGGTGAAACCGACCTGAGGAAGAGAATATGTTTACCGACGAGCTGATGTATTCGAGTATAATACAGCAACAGTTGCAGTTCACGCTTTCTTGTGCAGGGGCCTTTGACCTGTGAACCTATGTTTCCATGGCAACAGTTAATACGTGGTGTCCGTCATGGCATCAGCATGAGTTTGCATTATACTGATGTTTTTTTCGTGTGTCTGGTGCGTGCAGGTGCCTACGAGAACCGGAGCGTGTTTGAGACTCTGGACGTCGGATGGCAGCTGATGAGGATTTTCCCCAAAGAGATGCTGAAGCGGATCCCTCAGAGCACCCTGGCCGAGTTCTACCCCCGAGAGGCCAGACACTAAAACTGACACATCATCAGCTTCCATCAGTGAACCCTCACTGCTGCGTACCTACCGTGACGTGACGTAATGCTGTGACCGTTTGAAAACTCGTGACTTTCATGTGGCGTTGAATGCACCATTCCTGCTTTAACGAGATGACGAGGGTAACGCTGATTTGACATGTTTACAGTGTGAATGAAAAGAGTGTGGATGAGTGGAACATTGTGTCTGAAACGCTTTAATGGATTTTATTGAATTAGGTTATTATAGTAACGTATTTATTTTAGCAAAAGACATATCGAAATGTCCAAAAAAAACAAAAAACGGTGATAAAGAAAGGGGGGCGTTCTCACATCAGCTCACACTGACTTCCTGCAGAATAAATACGAGGAGGCTGCTGGAGGAGAAACTCCAGGTGAAAAATGTGTCTGTTTTTCTGTCACACAAGCAGCTCCTCCTGGAAATATCAGGAGGTTTTTCAGGAGTTTTCTGCAGGTGTGAACGCCCTACTAGTGTCTTAAGGTACACCTGAGCATCGCTGCAGCTAAGGTGAAATCACTGCACGTCATAAAAAACAACATTTCAGGGTGTGAGGTTACGTTTTGAAATGCATTTGTGTTCTTCATTGTGATATTTGGAGTTTTTATTCCTGATCATAAAAATCACTCCGGCCTTGTGAAGAACATGCTCTCTAACCTGCTGTGCATTTTAACAAAAAAAAACAACCACCTCGCTCTTTAAGCTTTGCGCAGCAGCGTTCATCATCAGTGAGAACATCCTGCAGCTTCATGAGGACGTCTCACCCGAGTCAACTTAAAGATGGACGACAGGTGCATCACATCCAAATGAGCCAGTTGAAGTGGTTTGGGCGTCTGATCAGGATCCTCCTGGACGCCTCCCTTTGGAGGTTTTCCGGGCACGCCCAACTGGGAGGAGAACCTGGTTAGACCCAGAGCTCGCTGGAGGGATTATATATCCCGTCTAGCCTGGGAACGCCTCGGAATCCCCAAGAGGAGCTGGAAAACGTTGCTGGGGAGAGGGACGTCTGGATTGATTTACTGCGTTCTCTGCCACCGCGACCCGACCTCAAATCAGAGGAAGAAAATGGAGGGATGGACAGGTGTGTGTGTGTGTGTGTGTGTGTGTGTGTGTGTGTGTGTGTGTGTGTGTGTGTGTGTGTGTGTGTGTGTGTGTGTGTGTGTGTGTGTGTGTGTGTGTGTGTGTGTGTGTGTGTGTGTGTGTGTGTGTGTGTGTGTGTGTGTGTGTGTGTGTGTGTGTGTGTGTGTGTGTGTGTGCTCGCTTAAACGTGTTCATTTGATTTTCAGCGCACATTTCCTGTCCTTTTTTTCGTATGCCAAAAGACTGTGACGGCCGTGTACTGCCACGAGGAACAACGCCTTTCTGCATGATGTTCTGCATTTGATGGTCAGTTTGAAACGCCATGTCTGTGATGGATGATGTTTGACTTAAAGGAAATGTACCGTTATCGGACGCTGTGATTCTCGTAGTTTAACTCTTGTACTTAAAGCTTGAACTGATTAATGTGTTTAGGTTTTTGTGAACGTGTCTCCTTACATTCTGGACTTTTTGAACGGATCGGTCTTTAAATAATTGTTTTTCTTTTATAACAGTGAGAGCATGATGACTGGATATCCGCCTGCATGCATCGTCGTTGAACGTTTCCTGTCTGTGAATCAACTCCCCATGAAATAAAAGCTGCTCGCTCTCATGCTCTCATGCTCTCAGTCCTCAGTTATTAGTTTATATTTATGACAGCTGGTTTTTGTTCCAAGATAAAACGGCTCCAGCTAAATAGAGGAGAGAGAGAGAGAGAATATTTGACTATAGGTATTACTAAAAGGTTTGTTAACATTAATCAAACATATGATGACGATTCTGACGTCAAGTCGGCAAGTCGGGCGCCTCTTTCTTTCCAGAGTTTCTGAGTTGTTCTGACTTGGGCAGGTGTTCATATGCATTTTATAACTCGACGCTTGTTTTTCCGATTCGCCCGACACCACATGAATGCACCATAGAGCACGGACAGGTGTAGAGGCCTGACCCCGTCTTCCATTAGATAAAAAAGGTAAAGCTCTCTGTCACATCAAACTTAACGTGTCTAAGAAGTGAACCGAATCCAACGTACCCCAAAAGTCATGTGACGCACAGGTGAGCATGTCGGTAGAGTTTGATGCTTACCTGATGACCCTCAAACTGGACTGGACTGGTTTGTAGAGGGCTGGTTTGTGAACGATCAACATGTTTCTGCTGAGGAGGACTTTCTTCATCCGGGTGAGTGCAAACAAACCCTGATCCTGTTCAGATCCCCCTCTGCATGTCTGAGATTTTAATGAGTTTAGCCACATGTCGCATGGGCAAAACACTCAACCACAAGTGGCTCAGTGGGCAGCGCATGAGTATGTGAATGGATGAGTTAATACTGATGGACTCTTTATTCAGCAGCCTCTACCATCAGGGTGTGAATGTGTATGAATGGATGAGTTTATACTGATGGACTCTTTACACAGTAGCCTCTACCATCAGGGTGTGAATGTGTATGAATGGATGAGTTAATACTGATGGACTCTTTACTTGGCAGCCTCTACCATCAGGGTGTGAATGTGTAGGTGTGACCTGCGGTGTGAAAGAGCTTTGAGGAGTCAGAAGACTAGAATATACAAGCTCAAGTCCATTTACCATTCACCTGCCTCCAAGTCATTAAACATCTGCTTAAAATCATCCAATGAGAGCTGCTCGTTAAGTTCCATCTGTTTTTAGTACCTCACGCTCTTAAGGTCAACAACCATTTTCTTATCTGCATTTCATAAAGGTTTAGGATCAATACGTTCCTCTTAAAAAGCCTTGAAAGAATCTGCAGGTTTTCAGGAGACTGTGATGTTGGTGCAGTTCTGCAGCTGACCACAGGGTGGTGCTGTTGGTCCGTGTGTGTGTTCTGTGTGTGAGCTTCCCCTGCAGCTTCAGAGTTTTTATCATATCTCTCTGGGATCCACTAATACAATTAGAGATGGAGAAACTTCACATGACTCAGTGGGTGTCTGAAAATACCAGCAGGTCAGGAACTTAAAGAGTCAGAGAAGAGACGAGTGAGTGTTTTTTATAGACAAGTTTTATGAAAGAGGAAAACTTCACTGCTGCTGAAACCCTGAAACCCTGTCCCGACTGTGTGTGGACATCAGAGACCAAACTCAGCTCATTTATCTGACTGTTTCTTCTGTTTTCTTCTTTTAAAACTGTTTAAAAAGTCAGCAGCTTTCTCCTTCAAAATAAAATACAGACTTCTCCTAAAGTGAAGCTGCTCCATCGTCCCTTCTGGGCCTCCATACATGTGTGGTGGTGTCTGTGTCTGCAGAGACTCTGTCCTCTGACTGGATTTTCCTGTTCTGCTTTGTTCTGGTTGACTCGGGACGTTTCTGGGCGGGGAGCTGGTGTGTTTCCTCCAGCCAATGACAGCGCAGCAGGTGAGTTTAGGAGTGGATACAATTCAGTGATTGGATGAGATTCAAACTGTTGAATATGACGAATGTGGACGTAGCAACAAAGAAGAGAAAATATAATCACAGTGAGGAGAAACACCAAGCAGATAAAGCTTGTTCTAAAAGGAGGGTGAACCTTGTGTTGTCTTTTACCCGTGGACGTGGAGTTGGTCTACTTCCTGTTGGACAGGCAGGTGACAAACACCTGCGGTTAGCTTGTGCTAGTGTGCGTTAGCTTGCAGTGTAGGTACAAGCAGTAAACGTAAACACCATGGCCATGTTTGGATGTTGTGTGTTTCATTGTTGTGACTTGTTTACAAACATTTCTAGTGACTCCGCCTTTAATGTTTAAAATTGTTGCAGACGAAAACGCTTTGACTTTCAATTTAATTTTAAGAGAAACAAAACCAAAGACAAAAACCAGCTGTTTAATATTTAACTGAATCGGATTTTCTAAATCTGTGTCAGCCAGACTTTTTCTTTTTTCTCCGTCTTTAAATCAGACTGTCTCCATCCTCACAGAGTCACTGATGTCACAGATCCTCATGTTCTGTGTATTGTCCTTCCACCTGTCTTCCTGAGCGCCAGCATCTTTTTAAAATTGTTTTTTATTAGGAGAGAGCGTTTGCAGCAGCAGGCGGTTGCCCAAAAAAGTGTCTTTTTTAAAGCGGTGTGCCTTCTTTGTGCGGCTCCTAGCGCTTTG